ATGCCTACGATGGACATGCCAAAAAGCGATGGCAATCTTGGGGATGCGCCCTCAAAAAACAAGGGAATCCCTAAGATTGGCATCGTGATGGATGGGGAGATGCCCAGCATAGGGGTAGGGATATGCTCCGGGCTGGTAAGCACACCTCGTGGCCCCCGCACCACTGGAGCGCGCGTGCGGACGGCCCCCTTCCGCGCCGCGACGGAGCAGAGAGCGTCGCGGCGCCGCTCCGGGCCGACCGCGCCCCGGCGCGGCGCGCTCCGTCCGCGCTCCCGATGCCGGGGGTCCGCGCCCCCAGCGCCTCCGCGCTGCCCGCCCCGCGGAGTGGAGCGGCGCGCTGTCGGCTCGCGGGGCGCAGCGCGTCGCCGGGGCCGCCGCCGCGACGCGCGGAGCAGGCGCTCCGCCGTGCAAAAGTCAGAGACTCCGGCGGCCCCTGGCCCTCCTCGCGCCAGCTGGGCCGAGGGAGCTGGAGGACCCTCCTCCTCGCTCCATCCGCCTCCCTCCTCGTCCTGTCTCCACCTCCTCCTCATCATCATTCCTCCCCCCTCCTCCTCATCCTCTTCCCGTCCCTTCGCTCCCCCCCCCCCCTCCCCCCCTTCTCCTCCTGCCTCTCTCCCAGGAGGTTTAACGGGGGTCTCCGGAGGCCCGGGAGAGGGCCCGAGAACCTGCCAATACTTTGACCCTCAATCCTTGGCGATCATCGACTCTCCTCCTCTCGCTCTCCTCTTCCACATTGCAGCTCCTCGGATATTACAGGCTACCTTCAGCATCGGCGCTGGCATATCCGTGGTCGAAGAACTGGCCGCATCTGCCGAATCCCGTTTAACTCAAGAGGACAAGAAACACACAGACACAATTAATCTTCGATTTCCCAGAAAATATGGGGAAACATGGGAAGTGGGCGGGAAGACAGAAACCCAGAAAATATGGGAAAATATCGGGGAATCTTTTATTTGTGTGTATTTATTTGTGTGTCCTTGGGCCCCTTCATGAACATAGTATGACCCCGCTCGATCTGGCCTCATCCGGATTGCGGCCAGCGTTGGAAAGATATAGCGTTCGATGTGGCGCCGTTTGCCTGGCTTCCGCACGCTCTCCCCCACCGTGGGGGATGGTGCGCGCCGAGGAAGGACTGGCAGGGGGATGCCGTGCACAGAAGGGGCCCTCGCGGGGGGGATCGCCTCACAGGGAGATATTGCATTGTTCGGAGGTCGATGCTGCACGCTATCCTTCCATCGTCAGCCGTACTCCCACTCAAAAGCCACCACAGCGGGGCTGATGGCCTTGCAAGTCGTTCCCACGAATCCCCTTTCCCCCCTCCGATCGGCTCACACCTTGGCTTCCTCGGGCTTAATCTCAAGTCAGGCCTGTCCTTCTACAGGAGGAATATTCAAACATAGTCAAATGATACCAGAGAAAAAACCCAATCAGAATTTTTTTTGGGGGGCTATGGGGCTTTAGGGATTTAGGGCTATGGGGCTAAAGGGCTATAGGGCGATGTGGCCATAGGGATATAGGGCTAGAAGCCTTTAGGGCTATGGGGCTATAGTGCTACAGGGCTATGGGGCTATAGGGCTAAGGGCTATAAGGCTATTCGGGCTATAGGGCTATAGGGCTACATACGGCTATAGGGCTTTAGGACCACAGGGCTATAGGGCTATAGGTCCATAGGGCTATAGGGCTATAGGGCTATAGGGCTATGGGGCTATGGGGCTATGGGGCTATTGGGCTATTGGGCTATTGGGCTATAGGGCTATCGGAGGTGAGGGGGTGAGATCGAAGTGGAACGTCGAGCCCCCCACCGGGAAATCGGTTTCGGTTTCGTGTTCGCGCGTGCCGTGCGTGCGCGGCGAAGCTGCGTGGGCGGGCGAGAAAAAGTCTCCTGTGGCTGAGGTGCGGCCGGACCAAATGTTTCTCTTCCGGGGCGCGGGGCCCCGCGGTGTCCCGCCGGTGTCCCGCGGTGTCCTCCCGTGGCTGAGGCGCGGCCGGACCAAATGTTTCTCATCCGGAACGCGGGGCCCCGCGGTGTCCCGCCGGTGTCCCGCGGTGCCCCGCGGTGTCCCGCGGTGTCCCGCGGTGTCCCGCGGTGTCCCGCTGGTGTCCCGCGGTGTCCCGCGAGGATGATGATGATGAGATGATGATGATGATGATGATGATGATGATGATGATGATGATGATGATGATGATGATGATGATGATGATGATGATGATGATGTGTCCCGATGAAGATGATGATGATGTTGATGATGGTGTCGATGATGATGATAGTGTCCCGATGATGAGGATGATGATGCTCATGATGATTATGTTGATGATGATGATGATGGTGTCCCGATGATGATGATGATGATGATGATGATGATGATGATGATGATGATGATGATGATGATGATTCCGATGATGTTGGTGATGATGATGTTGATGGAAATGGTGTCCCAGCGATAATGATGTTGATGATGATGATGTTGATGATGATTATGGTGTCCCGATGATGATGCTGATGATGATGGTGATGATGATGATGGTGATGCTGATGGTGTCCCGATGATGATAATAATGATAATGACGATGTTGATGATGATGTTGCTCATGATGATGATGGTGCCCCAATGATGATGATGTTGTTGATGATGATGTCGATGATGATGATGATGCGATGATCATGATGATGATGGTGTCCCGAGGATGATGACGATGTTGATGATAATGTTGATGATGAGAACGATGGTGATCATGATGGTGTCCCGATTATGATGATGATTATGATGATGCTGCTGATGATGATGACGATGACTGTGCCCCGATGATGATGGTGATGATGTTGATGATGAGATGATGATTGTGATGATGATGATGATGATGATGTTGTCCCGATGATGATGATGACGTTGATGATGATGTTTATGATGATGATGATGATGATGACGGTGCCCTCATGATGATGACGATGTTGGTGATGACGTTGATGTTGATGATGTTGATGATGATGATGATGATGATGGTGATGATGATGATGATGATGATGATGATGATGATGATGACGTTGATTGTGAGAGCGATTGTGATATCGATAGTGAGATCGATATTGAGACCGAATGTGAGATCGATGTGTGATCGATTGTGAGATCGATTGTGAGATCAATTGTGAGATCGATCGATTGAGATAGATCGAGTGAGATCGATTGTGAGATCGATCGAGTGAGATCGATCGAGCGAGACCGATAGTGAGATCGATACTGAGATCGATAGTGAGACCGATCGAGTGAGACGTTGGTTCCCCCCCCCGAACCTCCTTATCACCCGAAGGGTGGTCGTATAGGTACGGCTATAGGGCTATAGGGTTATAGTGCTATAGGGATTCATGGCGATTGGGCTATTGGGCTATAGGGATATAGGGCTATTGGGCTAGGCACCCCCGGGCACTTCTGGGCACCCCGGGCACCCGGGCACCCCTTGGCACCCGGGCACCCCCGGGCACCCCCGGGCACCCGGGCACCCGGCCCCGGCCACTGAAATCGGCCACACACCTGGGCACCTGGGCACCCCCGGGAACCCCTGGGCACCTGGGCACCCGGCCCCGGCCACCGAAATCGGCCGCCCACCTCACCTCAGCTTTATATCCGCTAGGACCCCTATAGAGGCAAGCTCTGATTGGGGAACCATAGCCTGGGGGCAATTTTGACTATTTTTGAACATTTTGGGAGTATGGGTATTTTTGTAGTAACGCCCAAAGTCCCCCTGTAGGGGGGCACGCCCGAGCTACGCTCAATCCGGCCCCATCGGACCCAAATCGGATTTGATCGGGGGTGGACAGACCTCCTACCATGACACGTCGATTAAGGAAGTGGCCGTTCTCGGTTCGCGAGAGGGCGTCGCGGCCGTCATTTTTGCGGGTTCAGGTCCGTCGGTTTCGGTCCCAGGCCGTTTTCACTAAGGGGAGGTTTACTAAAGGGAGGTTTGTCCACCGCCGAGTTGATTGCCTTCACAAAAAAGCGTTCCCCGCGAGGACCTCCCAGGAGTTGCCTCCTCCCTCTGCCCCCCTCCGCCCCTCTGCCCCCTCTCCGACCTGGCCCCGCCCGCCCTCGCCGGAGGTGCCCTGGCGCCAGTGCCTCAGGCAGTCTGCACCTCGGATTAGTCGTAAGTCGGGAACGTCCCTCTGCAGGAGGAAGATCCCCAACTAGTCAAACAATAGTCTGGGAACGATGTACGGGTTTCATGCAAATATAGCAGGCAGCGCACCTGTGCTGTAGGTTCGGTTGGAGGACTGGTACCGTAGTGTGCTTTAGACGCTCGGCCGTCGCCGAGGGTTGGGGTGAGCTTTACGCCCCGGGTCACGTTTAAGGGGCCCTGCGCTGTTGCACCTGCACTGCTGCCGTGGGGAAGGAAAAACTAGTCTGGGAACGATGTTTGACAATTGTTCCGCATGTTTGAGGATTTTTTGGTTGTCTTTTATCAGTCGTTCAAAATTCGCCTGTAGGAGGACATGCCCGACCTAAGATTATTCCCACCCGACAGCCCCCACATCGGGACCGAGGGCTTCTAAAAGTCGTTCCCACGGACACCTCCTAGGAGTTGCCTTCTTCCTCGTCCTCCGCCCCCCCCCCCCCCCCCTCCCCCCCTCCAATCCACCCCCCGCCCGTTCCTCTGGGAGGTGCCTATAGCGCCTCGGCTTCATCCGTCCTACTCCAGCTATGTCGCCCCCCCACACACATCGAGGCCGATGGCTTTGTAAGCTCGTTCCCGCGAAGGCCTCTCAGGAGTTGCCTCCTCCATCTTCCCCCCCTGAGATCCGGCGAACCGAAAACAAAAAACAGCAGCATCGGGAAACATCACGACCCGAGCTCGGAGCACCATCTTCCTGCGCTTTTTGTTCGAGCCAGATCGATATGTGAGGGCCCCGGGGCCCGACACTGGGCGAAAACGCACGGCTCGAAAAAGCCGAGACGCCAGGAACTCAGGGTCCTCCGCCCCCGTCCGCTCCGCCCCCGCCCCGGCGGGAGGTGCCCTGGCGCCCATGCCTCAGGCTGTCTCCTCCTCCTGCTTCTAGGGAGAAGCCGGGCCCTCAGTCGCTGGGCGCCGCGAGGGACCAACGAGGTCTGGGAGGATCTGGGCCTCCCAGATGGGGTCGGAGCAGATGGGGCCGGAGTGCCGCGCCGCATCGCCGATGCATCGCCGATGCGGCCGGATGTGTAGCCCGATTTGCTCCACGCCGACGTCGCCGATGCATTTCCAATGCCGACGATGCATCGCCAGTGCATCGGCGATGCATCGCCGATGCATCGCCGAGGTATCGGCGATGCGGCGCGATCCCCCGACCCCATCTACTCCGACCCCATCTAGGAGGCCTCTAGAGGATGAGGAGGAGGAGGTGGAGGAGGCGGAGGGTTCTGCAGCGTTCGTTTCTGAACCCCGATGCCACCAGCCCCGATCCAAGAGGAGGACGGGAAGATAAGGAGGAGGAGGACGAGGAGGTTCTCGGAATTTCTCGGACGCTCTCGGACTCGGCAGTCTCCCCTCGGCGGTGTCCAACCGCGTTGCCGCGGTCGAGCTCTTCCGACAGCGTAGTAGATGGCAGAACACATCCGCGAGCGTGCTACAGTCAGGACGCTGAAAGCAGACTTCTTTGGGCTCCGGAGCGGCTCTGCTTCCTGGGCATTTCCTTAGGATTGGGTCGTGGGACCTATTCGCGGTCGAGGCCTGCCCTGGCAAGAAGAGCTCCTTCGGTCCTCATTCGGCGTTCTCCATGGCGTCACAGAGAGTTGCATTCTAGCCCCCCAGGGAAATGAAGACTTCCGGAGATCCTGTGCAGATCTTCCTTGCCGCAGGGGATAACGCTCGCAGTGCCTGGGCGCGCGAGAGGGCCGCCACATCTCTCGCGGTTCGGCTGCAACCGTCAGTCGCCTAGTGGTCGGTATGTTGGCCCACTGCTTGTGTCTTGCCACCCACAGGGAAGCAAGGGAGACACACTCTCTGCCTCGGTATAGTTCCAACAATCTTGTCCAAATGAAGGATGCCTTTCCCGTCTTCCCCATTCCCTCCTTCCAATCTTCCCTTCCTCCCTCCTCTCCTTTCTCCTCCCTTCCTCGTCCCCTTCTCATCTCCCCTCGCCTGGCGCACACTCCAGGTTCCAAGCATCCGAGCACAGCACGGATCAGCAGCGCGCGCTAGAACTAATCCTCTGCTCCCTGCCCCTTGCCCAACCCGTCCGGCCAAGCCATCAGACCTCGGGAGAGGCGGCCGTCCATGAGTCTAGACAGCACTCTCTTACCCCAGGTTGTGGGGGGATGGCAGAGGCCTTGCCAGCCGGAGTTTCTCTTCGCCCTGCTGCACGCCCCAGGCCTGCGGCTTCACCACAGCCCTCTCACGAGTGCAGTCGGACCGAGGTAGAAGATTGAGGTCGGTTCCGGGAGGGTACCCTTGTGCTCTTCGTGCTCGTCGGATTTTCTTGTGCATCCTGGGGAGGGTGCCCTTGGATGTTCGGCTTGCTCTGGCCGACGGAGGGTCTCGTGTTCTCGAGGGGTGTTCTTCTGGCCGGGGTCCGACTGCACAGGACATCTCGTCCAGGACAGCCGGGCTGGTTCGCCGGAGACTTGCGGCCAGAACACGCGGCAGCGCCAATGGCCAGAGCCGCGCCAATGGCCAGAGCCCTTAAACCCCGACACGGGACAGCAGCTGTACAAAGCAAAGATCGGCACCATCCAGTGGGACCTTCCCGGGGAGACACCCGGCGAGGCGATAAGGCGGCTTCAAGCATGACTCGTCCCTCCTCGCCTCCTCCGTTCCCGCCCTCCTCTCTCTCTCCTCCCCCTCGGGGGGGCGCCTCCGCGGGCCCGCCCCCGTGCGCGAGGCCACTCGAGCTTCTGCCCCCCCCCCTTCTTCCCAGGGAGGCCCCAGGCACTTGGCATCGCTCGGACGTGTGCACTTCACTTTTTCCTCGGCGAGGGCCATCGAGGAGCATCTTGGTCCATCCTGCGAAGCAAATGCACGCACAGCATCGGACGTGTGCATCTTATTTGTTCTTGGCGAGGGCCATCGAGGAGCATGTTGGGCCATCTTGGGGAAACCTACACGCGCAACATCGAACAGATGCACCGGGAAAAAGACGTCCGAGCGATGGCGAGCGGAAGGAAACGTGCGCACAACATAGAAGAATGCACAGGGAACGGACGTCCGAGAGGTGGCGAGCAGGGAGGCGCGCTGGGGCCAGCCGCTGGCACGCGATGGGGCGCACGCTCGTCTGCCCCTGCCTCGCCGCGGGATCCCGCGGGCGGCCGGCATCACCCGCCCCACCACGGGCAAGGACCCCCTGAAACCTTCCAGCGCCTCCACCACCACGGTGAATGACCCCCGAGACCTTCCAGCGCCTCGAGTGAGACACGACGGCGTGCGCTTCCTGAGGTTGGGCCCGTGGAGGCTGCCGGCGGGCGGCCCAGAAGGGCCAGCTGAGGCTGCGGTGCAGGTGTGCGTCGGGTAGGGTCCCTTCCTGCCGGCAGCTGCCCCGCGGAGTGTTCTCGCCCCACGAAGGTCCTGGGGGCCGCAGGTGCACTGGGGTATTTTAGGGCTCTCACATGTCGATGTGCCCCCAATATTTCTCGTTCCAAGACCTCGCACCGCATGTTTCCTTGTACCTGGGATGAGCAGCTGGCCCTGGGGATGGGGTCCAGAGGTCTGGGTGCCCGCGATCGTGAGCACAGGCCCACGGTAAGAGGTCCAGAAACTGGCCCTGGGGATGGGGTCGCGAGGTAAGGGGGAAGGATGGAGGAGGAGGAGGAGGAGGAGGAGGAGGAGGAGGAGGAGGAGGAGGAGGAGGAGGAGGAGGAGGAGGGGGAGGAGGAGTAGACGAGCGAGTGGGAGGGGGAGAAGGAGGTGCCCACGATCGCGAGAGGAAGGCCCACGGTCGGTGGTCCGAGGGGTCCAGCTGCCCAGCGGTGAGCCCCGCCAGCCGTGCGAGCCCAGCACCGAGGTTCTCTTGCCCGACTGTGCTGCCGAGCGCTCTCCCGAAGGGCTGCAGCCAGGACGCTGATAACGCAGACCTCTCTGGGTTCTGAAGGGGGCTAGCTGTTCCTTAGGGCAGTCCGTGGTTGTTCCTCCAGGTCTCTTTGTGCACCCAGGCGCGTTCGGTGCCAAGAAGGGGCCTCGTTCCTTCTGCAGTGCCCCGTAGAGCAGCAGCTTGACTGAACGGCCAGGAGCTCTTGCATAGCGTGTCGCGCCGCAGGCCGTCCCGCGGCCATCTTTCCTTTCGCCCCGCGCCCGCATGCGCTCCTGCGCCTCAATTCGCGACGGATGCGTTTCGCCGTTTGCTTGACCCAATGTTGGGCCCAACTCGCCGCAGACAAAAAAGTCACGCAGCTAATTCTGGCCCACCACGTCATCGGCGCGACGCGCTTATCACGCCCCCGTCTTCAAGCGCCAACGCCCCGAGCATTTCCCAGCCTCCCGCACCGCAGAGCGGAGCGACACGCTTTCAGCTCGCAGGGAATAGCGGCACACTGAGCTGGAGTTCCCAACCTTGGACAGAAGCGTCGCAAGGCTGCCTGGGAAGCGGCGCCATGATGCCATAGCGGGGCCTGGGCGTACTATTGCATGTCTGTTGCCCTGGCAAGGGAGCTCGGGGATCGTTTGATTTTCATTGTTTGTGTGTTTTCTAGGGCCTTTCTGGAACGAGCCCTGGACTCCTCTTGGGATCTCTGTTGGGCCTCTTGGCGCCTTCGAAGGGTCTTCGGGCTTTTCCAGGCTGATGTTGGGGCCATCCTGTCGGCTCTTGGGGCCGTCTTGGAGCTCCCTTTTAGGCAGTCTTGCGGCGTCTTCGAGGGGGGTCTTCGAGGGCTGCGCGTGACGAGGGGAGACGTCCTTTGAAAGACTACAGGGGCCTTACCAGACCGTCTACAGTGTACCGAAGGGACGGTGTCGGTCGAGGAATGTGATGCACCATCAGCATCACCTTCCTCGTGGTGTTGACGTTCTGAATATCACCGTCTTCCTTCAGCACCCGCAGAGACTAAGAGGCCACGATGGATGGTGTGTCGCGTTCTGTCGGGCGTCCCAGCAGCAGGAGGTGTGGATGGCAAGGCCCCCACACACAGCCCACCCAGGTAGTCCCGGCTGGCCTCGAGAGGCCCGCCGCGGGGGCGGTTTCACCCTGGCGCCGCCTCTGGCGGCGCCCCTGGGGCGTTCCGCGCCCAAGGGTTTAGGTTCACCGAGCGCGTTCCGCCACTCGAGGAAATGCCTACTCGCAAACGTCCGAAAGAGACAAACGTCTGCCTCGGTGTCATGGGCCGCAGATCCCCCTCGGCGGATCCAGGCCACTGGCGAGTAGTTTGTGAGTCGTGGAACCCGCTCGTCTAGAAGTGTGTGTGAAGTCCGCTCATATCACCATGATATCCTGAGCTACCGCCGACATCTTGGCTCAGGTATTTGCACTAGGTACCGCGCCGCTCCTTCCGCGGCGCATGAGAAACGGGCTCGCGACCTTCTCCCCCTACCCTCCTCTACCTACGGGAAACGTGCCAGGTTCGGCTCTCTGGTCGCTAAACCAATTTCCGCAACAAGTGTTGAGGCCGTCCTCGGGCCCATCAGGAAACGACCCATGACTCCGCTGCGCCCAGGCCTCGGGAGCCCTGAGACGGGGGTCAATGCAGACGGGGGTCAGCCAGGGCGCCAGATCCTGCAGGATCCTGCGAAGGCCCCGGGAGCCGCTCGTGGCCGCGAGGTGGCCGCACATATTGACTGACCCGGGTTTGCGAAGATCTGCGTTGCAGTTTTTGTTCCTGCATTGCAGCTTTTGGTTTCCTGCTGACCCGGGTCTTGATTGACCCGGGTCAGAAGATCCCCGAAGGCCGCCGCCTCGCGGGCAGCGCCGAGGCAGGCCGGGGGCGACCCTGGTCGCATGCCCCGGCGTTTGTTCGCCAGCCTGGCAGTGCGGGCCCCCGCACCGTGTGCTCGGACATCGGTGCTGGCCGACACAGGAGCGCGGGCAGGGCAAGGGACAGAAACAGGCAGGACAGGAGTGAGGAGGACGGTGAGGGAGAGGATGGAGGAGTAGGAAGAGGACGGAGGCAGAGGAGGAGGTGGAGGTGGAGGACAGGGAAATCGAAGAGATGAGGGGGATGCGGGTGTGGAGGAGTAAGCGTGGAAGAGGGGAGGAGGAGGAGCGGGAGGAGGAGGAGGAGGAGGAGGAGGAGGAGGAGGAGGAGGTGGAGAAGGAGATAGAGGACGAGGAGGAGGAGG